CTCCATTACAATCACTACCGACACCGTCGGAGTGTTGGCAGTCCATTTCTATGGACTCTGTTTTCGGCCTTCCGCCCGACAACAAGCGGAGGACTGGCGTTGTGGTCTTTGTAGACCGATTCAGCAAGATGGTTCATCTTGCTGCAGTACCAGCCGAGGTCACAGCCGTGCAGACTGCACGCCTGTTTTTTGACATGGTGTTCAAACACCATGGCATGCCGGTCGACATTGTGTCGGACCGTGATCCACGCTTTACAGCGCGGTTCTGGCAAGAAGTGTTTACACTTCTTGGAACACAATTGGCGATGTCCACTGAGGATCATCCACAGGCAGACGGTCAGACCGAGCGTGTGAGTCGCGCGCTTGGCGACATGCTGAAGTGCTACGCACACTCGTTCCCACAGTGGAGCGACTGTTTGCCGATGGCAGAGTTTGCCATCAACAACTCGGTGCATGCCTCGACAGGGCATACACCGCGTCACGTGAATGCGATGCGGCATCCACGCCTCCCGGGCTTGCTCGGAACGGTGGCTCCCTCCTTAAGTGAGGGAGGATCTACGCTTGCGTCGAATCAACCACAGAAGAACACTGATACCGACTTGGTATCAGCGGTGTCGACTTGGTATCAGCGGTGTCGACGCGTAAACAAACGTCTCGTTCCGGTAACGAGAGGTGAACAAGATCGACAACAATCTGGCTGTGCCGAGCACAGTCACCACGAAAGACAACGACACGTCTGTGCGGGGCACAGACAGCGCGCAGGTCAGACCTGCAGCGGAGGAAGTCATGTTGAATAAACCATTCAACACGCAAGCACAGGACTTTGTCCAGCGCCGACAAGCCGTCATACGGTTTGTCCAGAACGAGATAGCAGCTTCTTTGGATAGACTGAAGCTGAATGCAGACAATGGCGGCAGAAAGAACACAAATGAATTCAAAAAGGGTTCATTAGTTCTGTTAGCAACATAGAACCTACCTAGACATGCAATTTTGGATTTCGGAGCAAGTAAGCTTGCTCC